GTTAAGTTAGTAAGTAAGTAACTTATTTGTATAGTGCCTTTAACAGACGAGAATCACAAACACATTTAAAAAAAACATACAGATAAAAATAATACATATGAGTCAGATTTAAAAACAAAGAAACAGAAGAGGGTCCTCATCATGAGCTGTGATTTTTTTTCAAAATTTGCGTGTTTCCATTAGACATTTTCTAATGGGCTAAATCAAACTTCGAAATTTGATGCTCAATGGAAACGCAGCTTATAAATTTGCCCGAGTGGGAATGTTTTTTTTTGTCCAAATCTTGTATTTCATGCGTGTTATACATTTACACCACCTTCCGACTATGTGTATATTTTGTGCGTACCGTACGCTCACTTCCAGATTGATAAACGCCTCATTAACACCCTGATTTGGTCGTACGCAAATTTGATAAATGAGGTCCAAAGTGAGAGAGAAATGTTTTATTTCACATTGGTGGTTTAGTGCATAATATTCACTGCAATATATTTAAGATTAATAAAAAAATATTATTAATAATTTTATAGCACAAATATCTCAGATAATTGTATTTGCACGTTTATTATGACATCACAACTGTGAAAGCTCTGCCTCTTGTGTGTCTCTTGTCTGTCTCTGGTGACCTGCCTCTTGTCTGCCTGGGTGTCTGAAAAGGCAGAAGATTACTTAGAGTCTGTCCATAGGACAACAATCAGTCGTGCACTGCACAAATCTGGCCTTTATGGAAGAGTGGCAAGAAGAAAGCCATTTCTCAAAGATATCCATAAAAAGTCTCGTTTAAAGTTTGCCACAAACCACCTGGGAGACACACCAAACATGTGGAAGAAGGTGCTCTGGTCAGATGAAACCAAAATCGAACTTTTTGGCCACAATGCAAAACGATATGTTTGGCGTAAAAGCAACACAGCTCATCACCCTGAACACACCATCCCCACTGTCAAACATGGTGGTGGCAGCATCATGGTTTGGGCCTGCTTTTCTTCAGCAGGGACAGGGAAGATGGCTGAAATTGATGGGAAGATGGATGGGGCATTCTGGAAGAAAACCTGTTGGAGTCTGCAAAATGACCCATATGGGTCTCCCTCCCTGTGGGTTTCCCTAGTTCTCCTCCAAGGTTTCTCACTTTTTCCCACTGGGTTTTTTAAGAGTTTTTCCTTGTCGATGCAGGAGGGTCTTGTTGGACAGTTAGTGTCCAACAGAAAGGATTGGTGATGATCAGGACACTTTAGCATTCTACAACATGTATGGACATTTTCTTCTGTGTGTGCTTTATATTCTTCATGTGTTTTAACTGTTGATTCTCTGACCTGTGTTGGTGATTTCAATGGTTTTGTTAAGTCCTCTGAGATGACTTCTGTTGTGACCTAGGGCTATACAAGAATAAATTGTATTGTATTGTGTAAAAGACCTGAGACTGGGACGGAGATTTATCTTCCAACAGGACAATAATCCAAAACATAAAGCCAAATCTACAATGGAATGGTTCACAAATAGACGTATCCAGGTGTTAGAATGGCCAAGTCAAAGTCCAGACCTGAATCCAATCGAGAATCTGTGGAAAGAGCTGAAGACTGCTGTTCACAAACGCCAACCTCACTGAGCTTGAGCTGTTTTGCAAGGAAGAATGGGCAAGAATTCCAGTCTCTCGATGTAAGTAATCTTTTATTTATATATATATATATATATATGTCACAAAGCGGTTTACAATTGTTATTTTTTGGGCATTTGTCCTCTCACTCCACACAGAGATGGGAGCGGGGTTGCAGAGATGGGAGCGGGGTTGCAGAGATGGGAGCGGGGTCGCCAGTACATGAGGCGCATGCACTATTGTACATATTTTTAGTGGTAGGGGGAACCGGACTACCCAGAGGAAACCTACGCAGACACGAGGAGAACATGCAAACTCCACTCAGAAAGGTCCTGGTCCGACCGAGATTCGAACCTAGGACCTTCTTGCTGAGAGGCGAGAGTGCTATACACTCAACTACCGTGCCGCCCAAAAGGTGGCGCTACAAAGTATTAGCGCAAGGGGGCCGAATAATATTGCACGCCCCACTTTTCAGTTTTTTATTTGTTAAATACGTTTAAATTATCCAATAAATTTCGTTCCACTTCACGATTGTGTCCCACTTGTTGTTGATTCTTGACAAAAACAATTTTTTTATATCTATATGTTTGAAGCCTGAAATGTGGCGAAATGTTGAAAGGTTCAAGGGGGCCGAATACTTTCGCAAGGCACTGTAGTGCTGGATATGTGTTATTGTTGTTGTGAACTGCTCCGCTCTGAAGTAGGTTTGGACTTATACCGGCCCTGTTTAACCAGTACCAGGGCTGTTGTTTGTTCCTCTTTGCCCTGATTTTATTGACTTCCCTTTCGGCAGCACTGGAAGGGGCTCTGCTTGGTATTTTGTAAATATTTTGTTGCTATTTCAAATTTTATTCTATTATTTAAAGAGTCACTATCTGGTTTGGTCTAGATATATGGTAAAGCGGTAAAGCCTCACCTCCCTTTTGCTAGCCAGCCAGTTATTTTTTAATGCATAAGTTGACCAGCTTTGGTCCACTTTTATACAATTTTAGGCTTTTGTAAAGGTTGATGTTTTATTATTGATAGAAAAAGTTTTATTTTGATGCTTCCTGTTTCAACCGGAAGTCAAGTGGCTCGCGCAACATCAGACGGAGAAACGTTACAGTGTATGGACGTTACAAACAAACAGACGGTCTAGTAGTCAATGGTCTAAAGAGGAAACAGAGGTATAAAAGAAACAACAAAGTTTAGCAACAGTTGAGATAGAGGGAACAATGTATGGATTGATTTTAGTTGTGTAACAATTGTTTCTTTGTGTAAAATAATAGTAATTGTGATATAACGGTTTACAATGTAATTGATGCAAGGGCGTAGGTTTGCGTGGGGACCATGGGGACATGTCCCCACCAATATTTGGTGAGGACTAAAAAGTCCCCACCAAAATGACATGATGTCCCGTGACCCGGACGGTCCGGGACACATGTCTTCCGTTTGTGCATACGTCGCGCCTCCTCCTCGCCTCCAGAGCATCAGCAGCAGCAGCAGCACGTGACCCGTTCCGTTCTCTGCAGTGATTGGCTGTCTTCTTCAGCGCCAAACTGAAGCACTGAGCAACTGTTTAATTTTTAAAAGTTAGCCAGCGTGAAGCAAGTGTTTTATTTCGTTCCCTGAGCGTTGTAGCACGTGAGTAATCAGAGGAAAGTACTGTAGATCTATTACCATTCAAAGTACTTACGTTATTTCTAATCTGTCAGCGCACTGTTTAATGTCCCGAGGAGCTCACACGGCACAGAGACAGAACAGAACTGGCTCCAATAAAGAAACAGGTGAAAGGCTTGAAAAAATACTTATTGTGCTCTTACTATCCAAAATGTATGAGTGGGTGTGTTGTGTGAATCAGGATAAACTAGGGATAAAAATATTCCACGGATCCACGATTTACAACCCTTATCTGCTGATAATGTGATTTCTGTGAAATGTGTGACAGCGGGCACTTGCTGTGATTTGCTCTAAGCACCGCAGCTGCACCAGGACGTGCTTTGTAATGACAGCCGCGGCGCTCAGTGAAAGCAGAGCTCTAACATGGTACCGAGCTCGGACCATATGCAGACAGAACCATGTTGCAAGTGCGGGTCTCCCTCGTATCTCCCCCGTTTCTCCCCTGTGTCTCTGACATGTCTCTCCCCTGACTCTTCCCAAAGCGCAACCAGCGCTCCCGAAATTAAAGCTCGGATACGTAAATTTTCCATTGCGTTAACGATGCATGCTGGTTGTGCGCAAAACACACCACAACAGGTCTTTTAAGTTTTTATTTTGCATACTTGAGAGCCCTGTGAGTCATTACTTGCCTTTTTGGGTTGAGAGTGGAATAAAAAAAAAGAAAATATAGAAAAATCCACACTGTTACTTATTGCCAAACTCTTGTTAACTCATTGTATTGAGAAATACTATGTAACTTTTGACATTGGCCAAGTTATATAAATTATTCTGCAGTTCATGTATATGAATGTCTGTTTTTGATTTTCTATACCTTCTTATATAATTTAGAAAAAATGCCACCTCCACAAAAAAAGATAAAAGATATCAGGAGCTTTTTTAACAGTTGGAAAGTAAGTAAGAGAAAGCACAAGTAATAGCAAATTATGAATTGTGATGATTAATCTTCTGTTAACATACATAGGAAACTCAACCAACAAGAGAGAACAATATAGGGAATGTTGAGGTAGAAGCAACAGGCCCTTCAGTGCATCAGGCGAGGTTGGAATTTTGTAGGTATGCATGGGACTATGAATTGTTTTTAGAGATTGATCATATATGTCAAACAATGTAGTGAGCTACTCACTGTAGATTCTAATTCAATATTTTCTCCTCTGTTTTTATTTATTATAGGAAATTGAAAGATCAGAGCATGATTTATTTCAAGTATCGAGAGCAGTTCCTGAACTGTTAGAGCCTCAGGTGAGGGCTATTATGTAGATTTGGATTAGGTTTAAGTCAGTATAGAATGAACGCAACACAAAACTCAGAAGCTCTGATCCAATTGATTTTGTTTTAACTATTAGAAAAAATCCTTAACTGCTTCTCATTCAGTCTACAGCTGAGTTTAGTGTAGAAGGCAACACACTATTGCAAATATAGTGTGTGATTACACAACAAATTCTGGGGGAGAAACTCTGGACCCCGTGTCAATGGGTGTAGACTCAGGTCGTAGTGAATGTCCCCACCAAGATTGGAACCAAACCTACACCATTGAATTGATGCTAGATAGTATTTGGACATGATTGTAAGTTGATTTTAATTTCTGTTCTAGCTCTTACGTTGGTTATATGAATATATGGAATGACAAAATAAACTTCATTTTAACCATCAGTTCTGGCACCCAACTGGACGCTACAGTAAGAGCTTGAACGCCGCCAGTTTGCTGCAACACCGGGCTCGAGGTTTCAACGGTTATACCCGCTACGTCCAGCAGATGGCAGAAGTTGGTCAGTTAATATAAACGTTTCAAAGTTCAAGGAAAACAAAGCTCAAATGGAAGAATTACATATTGTAGATCAAACGAACATCAATGACAAAAGTTTGTTAAAAGAAATACCCTCACTTCAAAATGAAAGTGAGAATAGACCAGAACTATTAATGGCAGAGCAAAGCACATCAGCAATACCCACACGCTCTGAAAGAATTAAAGTGCCAACAGAAAAATGGCTATTTATCAAAAGGAAGAAATTAACAAAAGAGAAAAAAGATTAGTGACTCTATATGAACTGTGGAAAAGACAGGTGCGTGAGGCAAGAGAAATGCTTAAAGGCACACCGCGGACTTTGTGACCTAAAGAGTTGACACATATGAGTTATTTTATATGAATACTTGGGCCAATATACAGCGCTTGACACTTGCAATGCTCCGAGCGGGGCTGCCCTCTTGAAATACCGCCCATGTAAGTTTCGAGCAGACGGACCGTCTGCCACCAGGTCACGGCTGAGGCAAGGAAAAATTTTAAACCTTCGGAGGAGGCTAAAAAGAGGAAACGCGAAAGGGATCGTGCTGTAAGCTGCATGTCTGTATGAGCGCTGCTCTTCACCTGGTTCCTGGATGTCATCGACTGCAAAGATGTCATTCCACGCAGCACGAGCTAGACGCAGAACTCCCTCATCCAGGATATAGAAGTCCATGTGTGGTAGATTACTAATGCAGCGGTCTGGAGGCTGACCACAGCAGAGTCTCTCAATATCTGTAGGCATGTCTCTACAGTTTGAACACACACACCAGTGCATGCTGTCTGAATACACACTCAAAAGACACCGGCTGACTGTTTGTTGACTTTTGCGACAGTGCTGAGTTGCTTGTGGCCACTAGGGGCGCTAAACGTGAAAGTTGCAGGTCTAGCGCCCCTAGTGGCCAAGAGTTACACGGTGTGCCTTTAAGAAAGATATTTCAGAGAAGGAAATGGGTGATCTCGCAGATATAATTGAGGAAAAGAGAGATGATCTGTTAGAACTATACAATGAAACTAGAAACTTGCAATGGCTGAAGCCATTGCGATTGACTGCGGAACAGATCTAATGTGGAAATCTGCTAAAAAAAATCCTTGAAATCCTTTAAAAGGCCTTGAAACTGTTAAAATACTTGATAGATATTTGAAACTCCTGAAGTCCTTGAAATTGTTGAAACCTTTAAACTCCTGAAATCCTTGAAACTGTTGAAACATTGAAACTCCTGAAATCCTTGAAACTTTTTTTAAACCTGGAAACTGTTGAAAGTGTGGAAACTCCTGAAATCCTTGAACCTCCTGATATCCTTGAAACTGGTTAAATTCTTAAACAGTTGAAATCCTTGAAACTACTGAATGTATTGAAAGTGTCCTTGAAACTGAAAAATCCCCTCACCGCTGAAACAATTTGGTTCCTGTAACTAAGGAAACCTGGTCTGTGGTCATTATCTGGTGGTGGTCTGAGTCTTCGTTTGGGTCTTGGTCTGGTGGTATAATGCAACCTATTAGGTTGCATTATACTGGTTTACATGGAAAAATCCCTATTAGGTTGCATTATACTGGTTTACATGGAAAAATCCCTATTAGGTTGCATTATACTGGTTTACATGGAAAAATCCCTATTAAGTTGCATTATACTGGTTTACATGGAAAAATCTCTATTAAGTTGCATTATACTGGTTTACATGGAAAAATCCCTATTAGGTTGCATTATACTGGTTTACATGTACAAATCCCTATTAAGTTGCTTTATACTGGTTTACATGTAAAAACCCCTATTAGGTTACATTATAGTGGTTTACATGTAAAAATCCTTATTAAGTTGCATTATACTGGTTTACATGTAAAAACCCCTATTAAGTTCCATTATACTGGTTTACATGTAAAAACCCCTATTAAGTTCCATTATACTGGTTTACATGTAAAAAAACCCTACCTTAAGTTGCATTATACTGGTTTACATGGAAAAATCCCTATTAAGTTGCATAATACTGGTTTACATGGAAAAATCCCCATTAAGTTGCATTATACTGGTTTACATGAAAAAAACCCTATTAAGTTGCATTATACTGGTTTACAAGGAAAAATCCCTATTAAGTTGCATTATACTGGTTTACATGGAAAAATCCCTATTAAGTTGCATTATACTGGTTTACATGAAAAAAACCCTATTACGTTGCATTATACTGGTTTACATGGAAAAATCCCTATTAAGTTGCATTTACTGGTTTACATGGAAAAAACCCTATTAAGTTGCATTATACTGGTTTACATGGAAAAAACCCCATTAAGTTGCATTATACTGGCAATTTACATGAAAAAAACCCTATTAAGTTGCATTATACTGGTTTACATGAAAAAACCCCTATTAAGTTGCATTATACTGGTTTACATGGAAAAATCCCTATTAAGTTGCATTATACTGGTTTACATGGAAAAATCCCTATTAGGTTGCATGATTACACTGAAGTCCTTGAAACTGCTGAAGTCCTTGAAACTGCTGAAGTCCTTGAAACTGCTGAAGTCCTTGAAACTGTTGAAGTCCTTGAAACTCTTGAAATCTTGAAACTGCTGAAATCCTTGAAACTGTTGAATCCTTGAAACTGTTGAATCATTGAAACTGTAGAAATGTCTGAAAGAGCTGAAGTCCTATTAAAATGCATGGGCCTATTAAAATGCATTGCAGAATTCTCAATGCAGATTTTTGTCCGATTGCGGAAAAACCGGAAATCGCTGAAGTCCCAAAAGTAATAGCAATAATCTCCCAAACATGTGGAACGTTTTGATGTATAACTTGTGGAAATTGTTGAAAATGTGAAAGCTGTGAAACGTGTCAAAAAAAATGACGGAATAAAGAAATACAAAACCAATGGTTGACTGCGGAAGGTTCCGCAGTCAATCAATAAGAAACCACATTGCACCATCATCAGACATCAGAAGAAAGACTGATGCATGTGAAGCAGTGACACATGACATTATAAGAGTCATTCGCAGAATAAGCGGTGTAGATGGAGATTTTGATGCAGAGCGCGAAGGCAAACGCTTAAAGGGGCTTAAAGAACATCAGTACGCTGAGTCCATATATAGCTCAAACATAACATCAAATCATAGTCATTTTTCTTCAGCTTCGCTTCTCACTACAAAACGAGCAGATGCAGCAGCAGAACTCGCCGCAAAGGAAGCAGAGTACAAGATCGTACAAGAAGAACAAAGGCAAAAGGAGAAGATAAAAGCGTTAGAAGAAGAGCACAAAAAACAAATGGCAATCCAAACATCAGAGCTAGAACGCTTGAGAGCTGAGAAGGATGTAGAAGCAGCTCGTGCCAGGTTGGAAGCTTACAATAACGAATTACTACAGCTTGGTGATGCAAGGTCAGTAAAAAGTGAACAGGTGAGCCCAGAGCATACACCCAAACAGACTGCATCACTTCCAGCCATACCTGCACCAACGGCTCCCTCTAGTGTCAGCCACCTTGCAGAGGCCGTGCAATACAGCATAAGATTGAACAGGCTCCCTGCACCAGAGCCAACAATGTTTAGTGGAGAGCCAGTGCATTTCATTGAATGGAAATCTACTTTCACATCATTGATAGAACAAAATGGCATCTCAGCAGCAGATGAACTGTATTATCTAAAAAGATACATTACTGGCCCAGCTCGCAAATGCCTTGAAGGGACTTTCTTTAGAAATGATGAAGAGGCTTATAACAATGCTTGGGAAAAATTGACCCAAAGATATGGCCAACCATTTGTAATACAAAGGGCCTTTAGAGAGAAGCTGTCTAATGGCGCCTCGTACGGTCAACATGGCTCTTTGCTGCTCTCTTTTTCTTTTGTTTTTACTTTTTAACTGCGCATCTGGCTGTTCCTACACCCGTGAGGAACTTATGAACATCCGACCCCATGGACCTATTGCCTGTTTTCTTGGCATCTGCGGCTGATTTAGTTCATGTTCTAGCCAAAAAAGTGTGGGCCCGTAAAAGGGGAAAGCGTGGAGGCCTGCTCGTGCGTCTTAGGAGGAGAGGAGCGCGCACGGCTCTCCCCGGCATTTTTCTCTCACTGGGCAATAAGATGGACGAACTCAGCCTGCTCATGAGAAGAAACAAGGACTTTGCCACATCCTGTGTCCTCTGCTTCACTGAGACCTGGCTAAATGAGCGGATCCCGGACTGTGCTCTGGAGCTGCAGGGCTTTGGGCTGTTCCGCGCGGCTCGCCATTGTGCGCTCTCAGGGAAGAGCAGAGGCGGTGGGCTGTGTTTCTACGTCAATACAAACTGGTGTAACGATGTGACAGTGATCTCCAAGCACTGCTCTCCTGCTCTGGAATATCTTTTCATTCATTGTAAACCATATTACTCCCCGCGCGAAATTGTTTCATTCATTCTTGCCTCTGTTTACATACCGCCATGCGCGGACGCGCGCGAGGCTCAGCGCGCACTCGCAGAGCAAGTACTGTGTATGGAACGTTTATACCCGTGTTAGTATTAGATAGCAATATGGCCTACGTGCAGGACTGTACAAGGACTCTACAAGGACTCCATGTTATGACTATGATTTGACTGTCTCTTTGTGACACGTATGTCTTTCGATGTGTGACGTGACAATGACTATATAAACTGTGTACTGCCTTTATTCTGTCTGAGAGAAAGAAACAGAGTAAACCAGTGGAACTTGAGAGAAACTTAAATAAACTTCCAGAGTTTGGCACACCACGATCCGTCTCTGTCTGCTTAAATCCTAACAGATTTGGTGGAGAATGCGCGGCTCGGTTTGTGCCATTCTCTGGATTGTTTTGAGGGAGTTTTCTCTGTTTCTTTTTTTCGGCGTGTGGGAGCAACAGCACGTTATCTGGAAGGGGAGAAATCCCAGTGGACGCTGAAAGGGCTCGCTTTTGGATGGGCTTGCTCTTGCTCCCTCACTTTCTCTGTTTTGTGTTTAAATTGAAGATTCCGACGCGGAAAAGAGTTGGCAGACCTCTCGGACAGCCCGTGCGCACCTGTTTGACAAGAATAAGGTAAGCAGACACCTTTTTAAATGTAAAGTCTGCATAATTGGATACTAGCTAAATTTTGGTCTGTTTTTTGAGGTCTGTCGAACTCTCTAAATTGTGTTCAAATAAGTGTTGGCCATTAAAGTGAATAGGATCCATAAAGTGAAAAGTGTTGGCCATTAAAGTGAAAAGGATCCATAAAGTGAAAAGTGTTGGCCATTAAAGTGAAAAGGATCCATAAAGTGAAAAGTGTTGGCCATTAAAGTGAGGATCCATAAGTGAAAAGTGTTGGCCATTAAAGTGAAAAGGATCCATAAAGTGAAAAGTGTTGGCCATTAAAGTGAGGATCCATAAGTGAAAAGTGTTGGCCATTAAAGTGAATAGGATCCATAAAGTGAAAAGTGTTGGCCATTAAAGTGAATAGGATCCATAAAGTGAAAAGTGTTGGCCATTAAAGTGAGGATCCATAAGTGAAAAGTGTTGGCCATTAAAGTGAAAAGGATCCATAAAGTGAAAAGTGTTGGCCATTAAAGTGAATAGGATCCATAAAGTGAAAAGTGTTGGCCATTAAAGTGAATAGGATCCATAAAGTGAAAAGTGTTGGCCATTAAAGTGAAAAGGATCCATAAAGTGAAAAGTGTTGGCCATTAAAGTGAGGATCCATAAGTGAAAAGTGTTGGCCATTAAAGTGAATAGGATCCATAAAGTGAAAAGTGTTGGCCATTAAAGTGAGGATCCATAAGTGAAACCATGGTGTAAACATAAAAGTTATTATAAAAAGGGAAATGTGTTAAAGAGGCCTTTGTTACAAAAGCTTTGAAATTGACGAATTTCAGGCTGATAAATGACAAAAGTAAAGAAGCAACAATATTTCAGTGATCACGGTTTAAATTACATACAGAAAAAGGGAGTTTTTGTTTTTTGGAGTGAACAGAGTTCACCGGAGAATGCAGAGTTTTATCTAAAGTTGAGCTATGAGAGCTTTCGTGAGTTATTTACATTTTTTTACCGAGTTTTATCTACAGTTGAGCTATGAGAGGGTTGTATCCAACAGTTGTTTTTGTTTTTTAGAAAGAGATTTTAAGTTTAAATTAGTTTGCTACCTCGATAAAATAGAAGCGTAAACGTTAAAGACAAGAGTGCCTTTTGTTACTAGTGTGGAAAGTGGCCATTTCTAGACTTGGATGACAAAAGTATAAAGAACAACATCAGTTATATTCGCTTAACAAAGTAATCTTGAAAGTTATTCTTCTGTATCTTTTTGCCTGTGTGTGTGCGTCGCTCTATCTGCTGCCGTTGTCAGGGAAACGGCCCCCTCCTTCGTTGCTCTGGCTGTGAATCTGAAGCAAAGCTACTGCTTTAGGAATTTGGCTTTTCATAGTTTTTATTCCGTTAAATTTGCGAAATTTGCCATTGAACATTGTGTTAGACACAGTTAAACGTTTTTAAACACCATTAGGGAATAGAAGTTTTGAATTAGTATGTTTTTGAAACCCAAAGATTAGTACAAAAAGCTTTGCTTTTCTTTTTAAATCTGCTGCTTATTTTGTGAGTCCATTATTGTATCTCTGATATATTTCATAGCTGTTTGTGAGAATTTTTTCATGTATTTTTTATTTTAGTTACAAAAGCCGTTTTTCAAACATTTAAATTAGAATCTGTTAAAAGTGATTAATGATTGTAGACTTCGTCTAAAAAAGAAAGAGGGAATTAGGCTGTAAAAGTATTATATTATTAAGTTAAACTACCCAATTCACCCAATTCACATTCAAGTGGTGACTTTTGTTTTTGTTTTGACTATGCACCTGACCTTCCTCCTGCTGCAGATGCACGCAGCACAGGAGCCTGGTCTAAAATGTGCTCCAATTCATACTGACTTCATTTGAAAAATGCTGCAATTATTTTAAATTAGTAAAATATATGCTGAGATAAATGCACAGATAATTAAACACACAGTACAAAAGTACATAATACATATTTTAAAGTTTGAAGGTTTAAGAGATTTGAGTCTTGTTTTTTATTAAGAAAGAGTTTCTGGTCTTCAAATGTCATCATTAGTAAGAGAATAAGTAATCTTTATTTACATAGCGCTTGGGAAAGCCAAGAGCGCTTCAAAATTGTTTAGACTTCAGAGAGAAAAACAATCTCATTCACAATCTCTGTTGTTTTTAATTTGACTATAAGGTTGTTTTCCAGAACCAAGAGCACACACTGTACAGGGTCACTGCTGGACACTGGACGGCGCAAAGCCCACCCAGCCACAGGTCACAGATCAAAGAGCAAAGGAAAATGCCACCTCCTTGCCCCTCCCCACGCCACTGCAGAACTGAGTGGGTGTGAGAGAGACCGGGGCCATGAAAGAGAGGTATCTGGAGACGTGATGGGTGGAGCGTCAGGTAGAGACCTAGAGGGAGTTGAAAGTGTGTCAGTTGGTTTACATCACCACAGTGTGACCTTTGACACCTACAGGTGGTTCGAGGAGTCTTGAGAAACAACCCCAAAATTCACATACACACACACACTCACACATTCACATTTACATATAGATACATGAAAAAGCAGAACATGAGAAAAAAGCATTTTAAAAGTTTACTCCAATGTAAACATATTTTTAATTGTCTATCCCTTGAATCTGTATTTTTTGAGACCAGAAATGTTCATTTGAATTCTATATTGTCATGGACTAATTGACCTCTGTCCTGACACTTTTGATTTGTTGATTTTGTACTGTGTGAAGTAATTACATTGATTAGAATTAGATCTGATAAAAACACAAATTAGAGAAGTAAACTGAATCATTGCGCTTGCTTTTTGTCTGAGGGACATTAGCAACAGCATGAATAGAAATTGTGTTCAAGTAGAATCAAAGTGACTTAACCATAGAGAGTAACTATTGCATAACAAGCTGTGTACAGGAACTGAGACACTGCACCATTGACCAGAAGTGCGTCGCAAATGACCTGATGTGCTTCAAGTGAAAAGACTGTATCTGGAGATCTGATGTCCAACTGGAGAGACCAGAGCCATGGCTTGGACCCTACTGATGTCCAAGATGACATCTCTATATGACCTGACCTGATGACGACTGAGACTCACCCTCAGGGGACCTGAGGACCTGAGGATCTGAGAGAAAACCGGGGAGTGATGTTTATATTTTTGAAATCATACATTGATGAGTGCTAAATGAGAGAGATACTCATGATTCCTTCTTTTGTTTTTGTTTGTCCCTAGCTTCTGGACATCTGATGATCTATTGGACACAGCCATTTGCAGAACAAGAACCAGCCAATGAAAAACGTCTATTGCCGATGCTATTGCTACAACCAGAACCTGTGACAAATGCAATATACATGTTAAGTATTCAGACATCTGACAGACAAAAACTTTGAAAATGATAAAGTTTGAGTATTGTAGCGTTTTAGTAGATGTTAAATAGTAGTAAAAAAGTAGAATTTGACTTCCTTTGTTGTTC